GGGGAGAGGATGGGAATGGGGATGGGATTTGGATGGGTTTGGGATGGGATGGGATGGGGATGGGAATAGGATTGGAATGGGATTTGGATGGGATTAGGATGGGGATGGGATTAGATGGGGGTAAAAGAAAATAAGGATGAAGATGGGGGTGGGGATCGGATAGGATGGGGAGATGGAGATTGGAATGGGATTGGGATGGAATGGGGTTGGGTTTGGGATTGGGGATGGAATGGGGAAGGGGTGGGGATGGAATGAGAAAAGGATGGAGATGGGATGAGGAGGGAATAGGATGAGGATGGGGTGTGGATGCGATAGGAATGGGATTGGGATGGAGATTGGAATGGGGTTGGGATAGAATGGGATTAGGATGGGAATGAGGTTGGAATGGGATTGGGATTGGGATGGGATGGGATGGGATGGGATGGGATGAGATGGGAATGGGGAAGAGTTTGGGATGAGGTGGAGATTGGGATTGCAGTCGGGATTGGAATGGATATGGGTATGGGTATGGGTATGGGTATGGGTATGGGTATGGGTATGGGTATGGGTATGGGTATGGGATGATGGGGTAGAAGGGTGAGAATGGGGATGGGATGGGGTGGGGAAGAGGATGGGGACGGGATGTATGGATGGGTGTGATATATGGGATGGGATGAAGGGATTTGGGGTGGAACCGAGATGGGATGGGATAAGGATGGGGGTGGAATGGGAATGGGGATGGGATGGGAAATGGAATATATAGGATGGGATGGGGATGGAGTTGGGATTAAGATATGTGGGGTATTATGGGATGGGATGGGATTGGGGTGGGATGGGATGGGATGGGAGGGGAGGAGATGGGGATGGGATGGGGATGAAATTGGATGGGGATTGGGATAGGATGGAGAGGGATGGGATGGGGATGGGATGGGATGGGATGGGATGGGATGGGATGGGATGGGATGGGACACAACAGGACAGACACAGCAGGGATGTGGGGTCAATAGCAGATCCTGAGCTTGGAGAGCCCCCCCTGGCCCCCTTCCTGCACTGCGAGGTGCCCCCATTGAGCACCCAACACCGACCTCAGGGGTGGGGGGGAGGCAGTATTTTGGGGAGTGGGAGGGGGAAGGTTGGAAACATGGGGCTGCATGGGGGCTGCATGGGGATTTATACGGGGGTTTTATGGGGCATCACCCACCCCCTACCCTGATGCCTTTTGCTGGGGGGGGTCCTGGGGTAGCCTGTTTCTCTGTGCCCATAGGAGCATCCCCAGCAAGAAGGGGGGTCTGCAGCTACGGCCATCCCACCAATGCCAGGAGAAGGGTTACAACGCCGACACCCCATCCATCGCACCCCCCTTTATTTGGGGGGTCGGGGGGGGGCTGAGGGGGGTCCCTACCTGCACCCTCGCCTCTGTCAGGTCGATTTTTAGGGCCAGCTCCTCCCTCGTGTAGATGTCGGGGTAATGAGTCTCGGCGAAGACGCGCTCCAGTTCCTTCAGCTGGGCGCTGGTGAAAGTGGTGCGGATCCGTCGCTGCTTTCGTTTCTCGTTGATGCCCGAAGGGTCCGAAAAGAATTTGTAGGGAACTGCCGGTAGGGGGAGGAAAAAAA